GACATATCTCCAAGCCCCAAAAACGACATAACTCGGTCAAATCTCATCCGATTTTCACGAAGTTTGGCTTTTACTTCATGGTTTTACCTCTAGATTAATCTGGCATTCAAATCTCGACACCGATTTTTTGGTCGAAATTCATGTCCAAATCTTACCCCGTATTCGTATACAGACATGGGTCAAAAATTACCACCCCCATAACTCGGTCAAATCTCATCCGATTTACACGAAGTTGGGCTTTTTCTTCATGGCTTTCCCTCTAGATTAATCTGGCATTCAAATCTGAACACCGATTTTTTGGTCGAAATTCATGTCCAAATCTTACCCCAAGATTCGTATATGTCGTTTCAAAACGACATAATCTCGCCATGATCAACGGCGGAGTTATGTCGTTTTGAAACGACATATCTCCAAGCCCCAAAAACGACATAACTCGGTCAAATCTCATCCGATTTTCACGAAGTTTGGCTTTTACTTCATGGTTTTACCTCTAGATTAATCTGGCATTCAAATCTCGACACCGATTTTTTGGTCGAAATTCATGTCCAAATCTTACCCCGTATTCGTATATAGACATGGGTCAAAAATTACCACCCCCATAACTCGGTCAAATCTCATCCGATTTACACGAAGTTGGGCTTTTTCTTCATGGCTTTCCCTCTAGATTAATCTGGCATTCAAATCTGAACACCGATTTTTTGGTCGAAATTCATGTCCAAATCTTACCCCAAGATTCGTATATAGACATGGGTCAAAAATTACCACCCCCATAACTCGGTCAAATCTCATCCGATTTTCACGAAGTTTGGCTTTTACTTCATGGTTTTACCTCTAGATTAATCTGGCATTCAAATCTCGACACCGATTTTTTGGTCGAAATTCATGTCCAAATCTTACCCCGTATTCGTATATAGACATGGGTCAAAATTTACCACCCCCATATCTCGGCCAAATCTCATCCGATTTTCACAAAGTTTGGCTTTTTCTTGATGGTTTTCCCTCTAGATTAATCTGGCATTCAAATCTGAACACCGATTTTTTTGTCGAAATTCATGTCCAATTCTTACCCCAAGATTCGTATATGTCGTTTCAAAACGACATAATCTCGCCATGATCAACGGCGGAGTTATGTCGTTTTGAAACGACATATCTCCAAGCCCCAAAAACGACATAACTCGGTCAAATCTCATCCGATTTTCACGAAGTTTGGCTTTTACTTCAAGGTTTTACCTCTAGATTAATCTGGCATTCAAATCTCGACACCGATTTTTTGGTCGAAATTCATGTCCAAATCTTACCCCGTATTCGTATATAGACATGGGTCAAAAATTACCACCCCCATAACTCGGTCAAATCTCATCCGATTTACACGAAGTTTGGCTTTTTCTTCATGGCTTTCCCTCTAGATTAATCTGGCATTCAAATCTGAACACCGATTTTTTGGTCGAAATTCATGTCCAAATCTTACCCCAAGATTCGTATATAGACATGGGTCAAAAATTACCACCCCCATAACTCGGTCAAATCTCATCCGATTTTCACGAAGTTTGGCTTTTACTTCATGGTTTTACCTCTAGATTAATCTGGCATTCAAATCTCGACACCGATTTTTTGGTCGAAATTCATGTCCAAATCTTACCCCGTATTCGTATATAGACATGGGTCAAAATTTACCACCCCCATATCTCGGCCAAATCTCATCCGATTTTCACAAAGTTTGGCTTTTTCTTGATGGTTTTCCCTCTAGATTAATCTGGCATTCAAATCTGAACACCGATTTTTTAGTCGAAATTCATGTCCAATTCTTACCCCAAGATTCGTATATGTCGTTTCAAAACGACATAATCTCGCCATGATCAACGGCGGAGTTATGTCGTTTTGAAACGACATATCTCCAAGCCCCAAAAACGACATAACTCGGTCAAATCTCATCCGATTTTCACGAAGTTTGGCTTTTACTTCAAGGTTTTACCTCTAGATTAATCTGGCATTCAAATCTCGACACCGATTTTTTGGTCGAAATTCATGTCCAAATCTTACCCCGTATTCGTATATAGACATGGGTCAAAAATTACCACCCCCATAACTCGGTCAAATCTCATCCGATTTACACGAAGTTTGGCTTTTTCTTCATGGCTTTCCCTCTAGATTAATCTGGCATTCAAATCTGAACACCGATTTTTTGGTCGAAATTCATGTCCAATTCTTACCCCAAGATTCGTATATAGACATGGGTCAAAAATTACCACCCCCATAACTCGGTCAAATCTCGTCCGATTTTCACGAAGTTTGGCTTTTACATCATGGTTTTACCTCTAGATTAATCTGGCATTCAAATCTCGACACCGATTTTTTGGTCGAAATTCATGTCCAAATCTTACCCCGTATTCGTATATAGACATGGGTCAAAAATTACCACCCCCATAACTCGGTCAAATCTCATCCGATTTACACGAAGTTTGGCTTATTCTTCATGGCTTTCCCTCCAGATTAATCTGGCATTCAAATCTGAACACCGATTTTTTGGTCGAAATTCATGTCCAAATCTTACCCCAAGATTCGTATATAGACATGGGTCAAAAATTACCAACCCCATAACTCGGTCAAATCTCATCCGATTTTCACGAAGTTTGGCTTTTACATCATGGTTTTACCTCTAGATTAATCTGGCATTCAAATCTCGACACCGATTTTTTGGTCGAAATTCATGTCCAAATCTTACCCCGTATTCGTATATAGACATGGGTCAAAAATTACCACCCCCATAACTCGGTCAAATCTCATCCGATTTACACGAAGTTTGGCTTTTTCTTCATGGCTTTCCCTCTATATTAATCTGGCATTCAAATCTGAACACCGATTTTTTGGTCGAAATTTATGTCCAAATCTTACCCCAAGATTCGTATATGTCGTTTCAAAACGATATAATCTCGCCATGATCAACGATGGAGTTATGTCGTTTTGAAACGACATATCTCCAAGCCCCAAAAACGACATAACTCGGTCAAATCTCATCCGATTTTCACGAAGTTTGGCTTTTACTTCATGGTTTTACCTTTGTTTTCAGAACATATATTGTAGATTTTGAGTGCTAGAGTCAAATTTTACATGTGCTACGCGTATATTATGCACATATCTGGAATATTTCATTTTTTTAGCAATATCTCCCGTACATTTAACATTTTTGTAGCTGTAGCCTTGGGCTTTGGTAAGAGCTTTGGTATGAGATGTAAATTTCAACAAGATCGGACACTAAGCAATAGGACAATAAGAAGTTGTAAAAGAGGGTTATTTCATAAAAGAATAATAAGAAGCACAGCCGTTTCATAAAGAAGCTGTGACTTGAATGCTTCTGAGTGTGTATGGATGTGTATGTGCACGTACAGAAGGGATACAGCTCGGTTGCAGGGTATCTCTTAGCCAGGCACTCCCGGCTCAAGCACTCTTACTTGTTGATTCTTTTTACTTGCGTTACGGGAAACATTCGAAAATGGTGCTAATAAATATTTGGCTTTGTGCATTAAATTTTTACTACAGAAAGAAAAACCTGTATGAAATCGAAAAAACTGCAGATTTTGCAGATCAGGAAACAACGAGAAACTGGATAGGAACCCCAGCTAGGGATTGCCGTCGCCGAAGGAGTTAAGAGGTAGGTGTACTTATGGAACTAGGCTTCTAATTTTCAAACGATAATAATAATAAAACTAATTTATTAGCATTGAAATCCGTTTCTTCAAACTAATAAGCTATTTGGGTCGTTTCAATATTTCAATTCTTTAATATGCACCTTTTGAAATTGAATCTGATTGTATATATTATTTAAGTTTTTGTTACAGAGCCTACAAATTTTAATATAAATGAGAGCCATTACCCGGCAGACATTTTCCTATTTACGCCCGTCGTTCGTCACCCTCATCACGAGAGATGCTCGGTGAGAGCTCGTGCATAATTCAATAGATGATGGCTCAGGATGATGCAATCGACAGCTTGAAAAATTGCCAACATTAAATTGTTTGCAGGTGGAAAATTGCGGCAACGTCAAAACATTTTTCATGCCAATGAATTTGATTATAACCAAGCCAGGTTGAAGCCAACATCATGCTGTTTTTGGAAAATTTCTGAAGCAGAAAATTTGATAGCCCCAAGCGAATGCCAAGTATTAAGGTATTCATATAGCTGAATGCCATTTATCAGGCCAGCAGAGACAACACAAGGCTTTCTATATGCTACTAAAAGTGTTCTTGTGTCAACGGAGAGTCAACACAACAACATGCTACATGAGTAAGGCAAGGGCAGGACTTTTGCCAATCTGTTGACAGTCGGCCACAGCATGCAGCATGGAGTTAAAATATAAAATAATTGTCAGACTTAAGTCACGCACACACACGCAAAAGTTGGCAACTGTTGTGCCAAGAAGCTTAGCCAAAAGTTACGAGTTAGTTTAAGGACTGAGAGTGACAGCAAACTGTTCTTCACTTGACAAAAAGGCAACAGTTTTCGCCTAATCACAGACAATTTTGCACTACGGACTTGAGTCCGTTTTATTTAATTGGCAGTAGTTGCCGCGTTTAATTCTTTCGATCTGGCACGATTCTGATTCTGATTGCGTATACGACGCGTAATTGAGACTAATTCTCAAAGCAAATAGCCCGACGCGTTCAAAGCCAAGTCGGCTAACGTCAACTTTTATTTGATTTCGTTTGTAACTGTAACTGTATCTTTATCTCGCTTTATTTATCTTAAGCTGTTCGCCCAAAAAAGCGTTGCCTTTGTGGCTGCCAGTTTCATCCTCGCCTTAGCTCCTGTCAATTGTGTGCCTGTAAGTGTGTGTGTGTGTGTGTGTGCGTGTGGCGCAAAAGTTCTCGAACTAAACCTAATTCATTGATAATTACATTTTTGGCCAAAGTTAAACGTTGGCGGCTAACGGAAGTGCGGATTTGCTGCTCAGATCATTATGAACTTGGCTAATAATTGGTTTTAATTGAAATTTCGATTCTTACCGATGAGGTCTCATCGCAATGGAGCAGAGCATAAAAGTCCTCGTTGGGACTGCGTTTATAGTTGATGATGGCATCCACGGCGGTCATTTTTACGGAGTTTGTTATGCGGCGAGTTGCTGTCAAACTGAGAGCCAGAATGAAATGAATTATAAATACGCTGGAAAAACAAATCTATATTTATGAGTGTGTGTCAAACAAGTTTTAGATAGCTTGAACTCGAGTTTTTGTTTATGTAGATGTGCAACAACAAATATTTTTAATTTATTTTGTTTTCTCATAGTTTATATACTTGTTTGCTGTGACCACATTTTGTGCTCTGATTCATAACAATAACAATAACAATTGCCGCGAATTCCGCTAAAAAATTTATTTCCTTGGAGAGCAAATGTATGTCTCTCAAGCACGTTTAACAAAAAAATGAAAGCAATATCAGCTGACCTTCGGGTTGAAAAACAAATGCTAAGTATATAATTAACAGCTAAAAAACAAAGCAAGTTAAGTAAGTAAAAATTGCGCGTTTTCATCAACAAATGCAGTTCAATTTATTTATTTATTTTGTTATACTTCTTTCTTGTGTTTTAGTATGGATCACTTTCACTTAGCATCGAGATGCTTAACACCACACTAAAAAGTCAACATCAAAGACCGCACAGTTACTTTTGTTGGTTGCTTCGCGCTCATACAATCAAAACAATGCCGCAGAAGAGCATCAGAAGACGCTGTGGGACTAGCTGTGATTGTCACTACACATAAGGCTCTCACTCTCACTCACTCCCTGTCTCTATCTTCCTATCTCTATATCTCTCCGACTCTCTCTCTCTCTCTCAGTTTCTGTCTTGCGTGCTGTGCACTTTTGAATAAAGTTAACTGTTATTTAGCTGTATTTATTGTGCTTTTACATTTGATGCGCTCACGATGTGGCTGGCAACACGTCGAAATTCAAACTGGCAGCGGATAGGGCTCTGTTCGGCTTGGCTTGGCTTTGCCTACGCACTGGAAGAGCTTGCATCTGTCTCTGCTGAGAGGCAGCCGCAGCTTGCGCTCACGAAAAAGTTGTAGATACGCAGGCAGCGAACTTAAAAGCACCTTTGACTCTTTGGCCGCCTTCCATGGACTGATAAGCGCGCAAAGTATCGGATTTTTTAAATGACAATTGGGGCATTACGTATTCAGTGGTCAAGAGCCGGTTTATTGCTGTCGCCGGGTTAAACCTAATTCTGCTGACTCAGTGCATTGGGTAAATTACCCAATTTCGTCGAGAATCCGTCTGTTTAATCCGACCAAGAATTAACAGCAGGCATTTGTTGTTGCACTCGCTAAGCTTTCAAGTTTGGCCACTTCCAGTTGGCCAGCTTTGGCATAACCGTATGCATGCTGTGTGCTTTGCTTAGCCATAAAAGCTGAACAGAGCTTTTGCCATAAACACTGTTTTATAGCATTGTGAACAGGCAACGGCCGCCACTTGTTGCTTTGCCTTCAAGCCGAAACCCATGCAAGGTAATCAAATTAAACTTTTCCAAATTGTCAAACACCCGTTCCAAACAGGAAATGGCACATTTTCAGCTTCGCCAGTGTTAGATAAGACTCATCAATCTGCGGCCATCGCAATGCGTAGGCTTTCGGGCGTTCCAATCGAATGACAGAAAATCGCTTTTCAAATTAAAAGAGTCAGCCAAGCGTAGAAAATGTGAACAAACTTTGCGGCTAGCGGAATTGAAAATGTAAACTGTTGCATGCTTTTAGGCGGCCAGCAAAAGGCCAACAACGAAAGTTTTTCATAGACCTATCCCATCTCGGCCAACCAACCAATGGGCAGCCCAAAAAATAATTTCCGCCCATAAATCATCATAATGGTTTACCAAAGGTCCGGCATATGGTAGAAAGGTAGCTGGCAAGCGAAATGAAGATGAAACATTTTGACAGCCAGCTAGAGTCCAGGACTTGCCTGGGATCCACGCACGTAGCCAAGTTTATCCTGTGTGTGTACGTGTGTGTGACGTCGACAAATAGAACTGGCCAGAACACACGCACACACACACAACCAAACACTCGAAATGGCAGCTGCTAGAAACCCAAACGAAACGTTTTAATTAGACAAAAGAGCTAAGCAACTATTTATTTCCATTTCTGTTTGCCCGTCTAGCTGCATAGCCCCCAGGCACAGATAAAGATACACAGACATCGAACCGAGGCGCCAGCTCAAGCTCAGAGACAGAGCCAAGGCCTGCAAGCTGGCAGTGCAGGCGATGGCCAGGACACATATCGCCCGGCTTGTGTGCATTCGTATTGATATTGGTATCTGTTGCTAACAGCATTGCGTTTCACTTAAAAGAAAAACCGGGCACCCGACTGTCTCCCAATTTGTGCAGGATTTTAATCTGCCAATTGAATGTGTTTCTTCCAATAGAGGTGAACGATGGTCGTGATTGTCGAACAGAGTTGCAATTTTCAGCAAAGCATTTTTCAATTAAATATCTAGCCAAAAGTGCGATCTACCAAATATATTAAATAATTGCCATAGCTGGCGCCAAAGCAATTTATATATCGATGCTGGATTTGCCTCAAAAATTTCAATTAGAAAATTATGATACAGCTCGGATGGCGGCTTATTTGTGTTTCGCTTTTATTGACAATAAATAAAATTGTATGAAATCTTTTAATACAGATATTTAACCACAATATTTCACTACATAAAAGGATTAACAACATATATGACGTATGTGAATAAAAAAGGGGGAAAACTTAAGATCAAAGCCACAAATCAAGTCTGTGCTCCGTCTGTGAAATGTTATTATGCGATCTTCATATATAAAACTATAAATATAAGTAAAAAATTTGGTAGGTTCGCATTAATTTTATGGTAATATCGAATATAAGCACTTGCTGGCCATCTTTAGATGAGATTTGCCTAGCTTTCAATCAGTTCAACAGTGCAATTTTTTCTTCAAATTGCGATTTCATACAATCGAAGTCGAAGTCGAAAAAATGAATCGTTTCTCTGTTTTGCATCACAGCGTCGATTGGCAAAAGTTTTCATTTCTGAATATGGCCTTTGTGAAGGGAACACATGCTTCTAACGAAGCTACTCGTAAGGCATTAAGGCGCCTTCCGTTTGTCTGGCTGTGTCTGTTCTTTATCTCATCATCTTGGCCCGTGGCTGTGCTCCTGGGTCAGCGCAAGTCAACGACACTTGCCGGAGAAAGGAATGACAGCTTGTTGGTATTATAATAAAAAGTACTTCAATAACTTTGTGCAATTTACAACTGTGTAACTGCGTGAGATTTACGGAAAATGAGCCAGGGCCAAGGGGTGTGGGGACTCAGTTCCGCTTGCATCCTTCACATGAGCGAGTTTTTCTTTATGTTGTCTTCCATTTATTTATTTTTATTTTGCGACTGTCTTCGCTTTGTTTTATTACCCCTTGTGCGTCTGCCCCTTGCTGTCTGACCTCCCTTTAATTTATTTACGCTTGCATTTTATTATTAAAGATTTTCCTTACAATTTTCAGCTCTGACGCTGGCGTTGGCGTCATACCACAACCCACAGCGAACTGTTGACAAAGGCATTACTTGTTAATCATATTTGAGCGCTGACTTTTCGTCAAGCAGCTGCTTATTATCCTATAAAATTATCCTTTGCCTGTTGCTCTGTAATTTGCTTAGAGGCTGCCACTTTGATAAACTTCCACGCAATGCGGACCCAATTACAACTGCTCGAGTCATAATAGACAAGTAGTATAATCAGCCATGTATCTTCAGACATACAGCCAGCAGCTGTATCTGTATCTGTATCTGTATCTGTATCTGTATTTGTAGCTGTTTCTTCGCACAAGCGCGTGCAGATACTTGTCTCGTCTTGTGTTGTTTGGGCATCTTGTTGCGCTGCGCGGCCAAAAAGACATTTGTCGAGCATTAATTTTAGAATATTTCATGTCTTGCGTTTATTTGGCGCTTTGTTTGCACAACGGAGCACTTGTCTTTCATATATCTTGCAGTCGATTATACAGGAAGTTCGCCCGGCAGCAGCATGAATGAAAAATATATCGCACCCGATAGTTGTGCCAGACTATTGGACACCCTGTATGCACTCATATGCCAAATGCAATTCGGCTCGCCTGTCGAACGCCGGGCACAGCAAATGCCTCTGGGCCAAACGGCCAGACAGCCAGAGACACGCCGGAGGGCGCGGAACAAGGCATCGGCAGACACGAGCAATGGCCCAGTCCCAGTCAAAATCCCACTCCCTATCCCCCAACAGCCTGTTTATATTATGTAGTATCACTTTTAAATGCCCCAACTGTGGGTATAACAGCTTAAGTATCGAGTTTAAAAAGCTTTTATCTCTGGGAAATAATCTAAAAGAAGTATAAAAAAAAAACAAAAATATAAATGAGGAAAATAAGCAAAGGTATTTCTCTTTAAAAAAAAAAAAAACATTTTATTTATATTTTAAAGTATTTTCCTTTTATATTTCCTAATTAGTACAAAATAACTTATAAAACACTAAAGGGTATATTTATTTATTTAAGATACTTAAATAATTAAATTTATAAATTTAATTATTGATAATAATTAAATAATTAAAGTAATAATTAAAATATTATTAATTTTATTTATGTTGATAGAATTTAAGTTTTTGGAATCTTACAAAATTTAACTAAATACCCAAAAACAAAGGCCGAGTGCAAGGGTATTTGTCTGTCGTCACTCTCTCGCAATTGCTCTCGTTTCCTATGCTGCGTATTGTCTAGAAGCGGGCGCGGGGTGCGTACCAAAATAGCGCCAACGACGCACGTGGAGAGGTGGGGCTGGGGCGGGTGGGAGAGAGGGCCAGTTACAGATTTGACATGCGTCACGGTTCACGCTTTGGCCAGCAGCACTAATTGCAGCCCGTTGAGCATTCAGAAGCTTTCAAATTTCGTCTCAGATTTGGACTCAGCAGCACTTGCAGCAGTCGAACAATTAGCAGCAGCTGCTCGCCCAAAATATTGAATTGAACGTCAACATTCAAATCAAAATTCAGAGCGAACAGCAGCAGCAGCAGCAGCATCAGACGTCAGAGATGCCAAAGAGCGGACATTGACTATGGCCAGCCCGCTCGCACTTGGGCCTGGCTGGGACTATTTTGGTGATCCCAAGCAGTTGGGCATCTCGCTCGCCGGGAAAAGCACACACAACAGACTCACACACGCACATGTATAATAATATATACATAGATGCAGACACATAGACAGTTCATGTCCAACTAGTCGTATGTATTGTATTTGGTATTTTGGTCGCTCTCCGGCGACGACGACGGCGACGGCGATGGTTCCGGTGGCAGGCCAGACGGCGAGCAGTGCCATCGATCGGGACAGAAGCCTCAGAATCGTGTAATTTGCCTCGTGCGTTGTCGCTGGGCGCTGCTCGCTGATTATTTTCAATTTATTGCTGCACAAGTGAAACAAACTGAATTTTGTTCTCGAATTATGCGTTTTTAATTGTACAAAAATATTCACTTTGTTTCATTTGGCAATTTGTCGTGCGTCCGCTTGTCGTGGTTGTCACCACCTCTGTCTCTGCATTCAGCATTGTCGTGTGCTTCCTTATCCGTTGTTCGTTGTGCGTTGTCGTTGTCGTTGTTCGTTGTGCGTTGTCGTTCTTCGTTGTGGGTTGCGCGTTGTTGTCGCGCCTTTCGTTGTCGCTGGCTGAGCGCTCACTCTCGCAGTGTCAAGCACAGCCAGCGCCCGTGATCATCTCAAGGAGCTCTTGAGTTCTCAATATAGAAATCAGTTTAAAGATTCCCAAATACAAGTAAACGTTATCTCGAACGTGATCGTAAACGTAATCGTGATCGTGATCGTGATCGTGATAGTCAACGTTAGCAGTGAAAAAATTTCTATTGTTTATATAATAACCCAGAGCGGGCAACAAGCATATAGAAGCAAAAGAAAAATATATATATTCATATACATATATATTCATTTTGGGTTGCTTTTTTTCAGGCGAAACAAGTTGAGAAATTCTCTATTGTGTGTCTGTGCTGCCCCAGTGTGCGTGTCGGTGGGCCGCTATAGTCGCTATAGTACAAAATTTAGTGAGCAAGCGCCGAACCAAGTGAAAGTGACGCTGAAAACAAAAAAAGAAACCAAAACACACAGTAACAAGTGAAAGCCTTTAATATAGTTAACAGACAATAAGCAAACATGTCGGACAATGAGGATATTGTTGCTGCCTCCGCGGAGCAGGCCAATACCAATGCCAGTCCCGATTCGGTGCCAGATGCCAATGCGGAGAGCAAAAGCAGCGTTGTTACGGAACGCACCGAGGAGATAATACCCGGCGAGAGCGAGAAAATGGTCACCGAAACCATCGATGAAGATGGCGATGTTGTTGAGGAGACAACCGAAGTCACCCGCAAGACCGTTAAGCGTACCATGAAAATAACCGAGGTGAGTGCAAGACAAAAGTTGGTTAAAGCTACGCAATAATTACCCTATACGAGGCACTCTTAGGACTAGCCAAAACATGTCAAAATGATTTCTTAACTTAAAATAATATTTCATTGTGTGCGTCTTAACAAATTGTTTATATAGCCGTAGAAATGCCATAAATCATCATATATGTGTTTATTATACGGCCATTGTACATACGTAATGTGCATATACGTGTGTGTGTGTGTCTGTGTGTGTATGTCTATATATTATGTGGATCTGTGTATATGCACAGTATATGGTAAATATCTGGTTCAGCCACACTTTATACAGGCGACAACGCCTGGCACAAAATCACAAATTTTGCAGCTGTTTGATTTCGGCGCAAATTACGAATATCAAAAAACAGAAAAACAAAATTGTACCAAAAAACAAAAATTATTGTTAAGCACAAATCACTTAATGCGCTGCGAGAGCTGCCAAGAAGGAATATATAAAAAACAACAAACACAAGAAAAACAAAACAAAATATGATTAAAATTAAAAACGAATTGCAGAAAAAAACAACTGCAAATTAAATGCTATAAATTCTGCGTTTGCTAGGAAAGTCGCAACAAAAAAATGAGGTTTCCGTGTCTTGCGGTCTGGCGCACAAGCCGCAGACGACGGAGGCGAGCGGCGAGCAGGCGCATTGCAATTAATTGCTACAAATTTTGTTGCACAAATTACAAATTGCACTTCCGGTTTGGCGCGGCAGCGACGCGTGCGGCATCTCGTCTTTATATAGGCCGTCTAAAATTGATTTGCTGTCGCTGTTTTACGATCGACTGTGCATTATATTCGTTCAATTTTATGGCAGCCAAATTAAATTTACATTGCCTTTGGCCGAAGGGGCTGAGCTGCCATTTTTTACCATGTCCTTTGACATTTTATTAACGAAATGAAAATGTATGTGTCACACGCATATGTATGCAGATTTGGGCAACGCGAATGCCCAAATGACACTAGCTGAAAGCGCCATATGTCATTTGAGCAGTAGCAAAAGCTACGTTAGTGTTGAAAAATTGTAAAAATACTATTTATCAACACTTATTTTGTTTTCCCTGTACACATTGTCATCTCGAGCACAGCAAAAGCTTTGTAAGTGTTGAGTAGGAGTCTAAATACTCAACAACTCTTATTTTGTTTTTCGTGGATGCATTGTTTTGTTTTTATTGTATGTTTGTTTTACTAAGTTGGTTTTATTGAGTGTTGCTAAATGTTTCAAGGCATTTTTACTGCTATTCAACACTTATTTTGAAGAAAAATAAATCTATTTCTATTAATTGTAGTCTATTGTTAATTTAAACCTGTGCACAGAGCAGCATTTGAAATTGAGTGTTGATTAATTTTGTAAAAATGTAGTGTTGTTTTGTTTTATGAAACCACTATACAGCACTGTTTTTTCCCCTTATGGCGCTTGTTGCTTCGTTGTGTGCGTTGCTCTTATCTTCAGCCTGTGTCATGCGTATGTTGACTGTTTGTGTTGACCCTGCCACAGGTCGGCTAATTGTGTTACGTGTGTCCGCTGCGGGCCGGCTTCTTAGCATGTCCTTAATGAGGCACGTGGCATTTTTGTCATTTTTATGCTTGCTGCTGGAATCTACCACAGTGCTACGTGACTCTGGCAAAGTTCAAATTGAGAATGCGAAATGTGTTTAATGAGCAACATATGAGATTTGACACATGCCATAAATTTTACAGTTGATTTAGCTGCAGTTTCCTGACCGCCTTGATGTTGATTTTGCTAATTTGCTAATGTATTTATGCAGTAAGCAAAATAGATTAGCAATTATTTTGCCCTGTCTGAGCAGACAGCGAAGGGGGCGCCCAATGAGGCATGCCAATTAGTGCAGCAAGGCGTGAACAATCACACACCAGCACAAACACACACACATAATTAGACACAAAGACAGCTATATGTAGATAGAGAAACACACAGCTAGATAAACGGTCAAACACATGAATGGAATTTCATTGGCTCAAAGCTTAACCGCAGCAAATATTTGGTCACCGCGCGGTCAACTTGGCATTGCCTGATTTGATTTTGGGCGTTATAAGGTCGAAATCTGTGTCTGACCCTGGCCCATTGCCTTAACCAATTCCTGGGCCACAGCCCTGTGCGTCAGCCGCATTGACAGCTGTCAACGGAGCTGGCGCCTCAAAAAGAAGACCACACAAAATAATTCACACGCGTCATCACACTCATACACACACACACGCATACATAATTACATATGAGGTACGCCGATTTATGTGGTATGTATTTTTCACATGATTATGGCATTTAGGTGTGACAAAACAAGTCAAAAACAATTCAATGTCATGCTTCGGCCACTTGGTTTTCATTCATTTGTTGCAGCTCTCTCAAGGCGTCCGCCTCCCATTGCGCATACGACGCGTTCGCCCAGCCAGCTCCAAATGCTGCCCGCTCGGTTCTGGTGGATTTTGGTCAGCTATTTATGCGCTTAGCGTTTGTTTTTCGTTTCGTTTCATGGCGTTCGTTCTTTTAAATTTATTTATTTGGTTGCTTTTTGCTGAGCAAACAATTTATAATTTTAATGCACACACGCACAACATATGCGGCTGTGCGTGTGTATGCGTGCATGTGTGTGTGTGTGTGAGTGTTAACTGAATATAATCTAAATATGTTTATATAATTGAAAAGCAAACGCGAAAACATCAAGCAAAACATAGCCATAGTCTAAGTATGCCAGTGCGTCAGGGCGAGCGGCGCAGCGGGCAGGGGGCGTGACATATACAAAATGTTCATATGTTCAAAAACGATGCCCCCACAAAGCAGTATATATGTGTGTGTGAGTGAGTGTGTGTTTGTATATGAGTGTGCGTGTTTGTGGTATATAAATACAGCTGCCAAATTGTTGAACGCACTGGGCTGGCTCACTGGGCGTATGATAAACGTGCCATTTATTTTGGCAGTCGGCCGCTGTTTAACTTTTGAGCAACGCAATTTTTGCACGATATGCGTCGAACGTGAGCATTGTTTGTTGCCATTGTGCTTGGCATAAATCAGTTTTATGAGTGGCATATCTCTTGTAATTTACAGGCGCTTTTCATAAGTTGCCTGCCCCACACTGATTTATTTATTAATGCCACAAAGAAAATCTGTGCAATGCTTTTGATTTTGACCTGCCGCAACGGAAACTTTGCCCGCCAGTCGCCACAAAGAGTTTACTTTTTAAGTTGTTGTGTTGCAACCTCAACAACAACAAGAACAAGAACAACAACAATGCCATATCAACTGGGCAAGCAAATAATTTTATTGCCTGCCATAAACTTCCGCCGCCGCAGGCGGATATTCAATTGATATTTACTTAATTCAATTACATTTTGTGTGCGCCGCCCGAAACTCAAAATACAAATTCAATTTACAAAATGTTTTGCGTAGTTTTGCAAGCTGGCAACCGCCACCCGTCGCCCGCTCCCCATTTTAGCTATGTATCAATCCAATGGTTCAGGCCAAAATGTATTCCCAACACACACACACACACACACACACACACACACACACACACACACACACACACACACACGCACACGCACACACACACCAAAGTTTCAGAAGCCAGCTGCAGGGAGGGGGGCATTGCAGCCCGTCGCCTTCGGGCCTCCGACTGCCCTCGTCACCGTTGTCTGTTGGCAAATCAATGAGGAAATTTGCAAATTGAGTAAATTCAACGCATTGTAGACAACAGCTCGGTCTGCCAGCTGTGCCAGTTGTCTGTTGAATATGTCCGACAACGGCAAATGCAAATGGGTTGAAACGCAATTAACTAAGCCGGCCCTAAACAGGAGAGACAGCTTGGAGTCGATACTGTTGAATGCCAAATGGAAACGGAAATAGTCCAAATGTGCACGGAGAGCATTCAAATTGGCGGAATTTAACAAATAGTTAATCCAAATTATAAATGGAAGGCAGCAAAAGATGCTTTCACTAACCGACAATGCGATACTCTGCACAGAGTGTACAATCATAAAGAGACTACAATTTATGACTAAAACTAAAGTTGCAAAGGGATTGCTTATTATTGAAAATTAATAAGTATTATATACTACTGACATAAATTAACTCTAAATAAATTGAATACAGTCTAAATAATTTTATTTGGACGGAACTAAACCTTGAATAAATTAACTTTAATTTTTATACTTAAATACTCTAAATTTTGTAATCACTCTGAGTTTTATTTTCAGACTGAGTCGCAAAACTAATAATATCCTTTATGATAAACACAAACTTAACCAGAATTCACTTTGAAAAGCAACAAATTCAAGTAACTCGTTTGACATTGTTGAAAGCAAATTAAGGAGGCTTTGTTTGTGCCTAAAATGTTGTGAGTAGGTTAAGCTTTAAGTGAGTGCCTGATGGAAATAGTTGGCTTTATACATTTTATGGGCCTAATCAAATTAAATGAAGAGCTCTTGATATTGGGGCCTGTGAAATCAATCTTTGAGTTCATTAAACGCAATGTTCTAGTTTAAAAATGCAATTGGCGCTTTCGATTTCTATGCCCGCCGCAAGTTTGTTTACTTCATTAATTGCAATATGTTTTTGGCCAGGTTTGTTGTTGCTTATCCGCCGACCATTTGGATAACCTAATTAATAATTTAGAGTCAACGGACAGCTGCTTATTTGTCCAAAGCAATGCGTGATTTGCTACACCGCACATCGTAAATAAATAATCCACATTAATATTCATATTCACAGCTTTGACGCGCTGTAGAGGCGGCTGCAATCGACATTTAATCCAGTTCGTGTTTCACAGTGCGACACTTGACATATTCCGCTTGAAATATGGGCCACGATTTTTACATGCCACGTGTTCATCTCTTTATACCCTTGTAGGGGGTTCTATGAGTATGTCACAGAGTGTGTAACGCATAGAAAGAGATGTCCCTAAAATAATTGCACACTTAGCAAGTACATGCATAATATGTGAAAGTCCGCCGCATCGGAC